AACATATCAAAATAATTCTTTTTTATATAGATGCATAATATCATTACCTTTCATTTGGTATATTTTTTTTATAAATTTAACCCTTAACCTGCCCACAAGGGGGGATTTTATATGACAACTTTTTCAACTTAACTTTTGAAAATGTTCCGGAAGGTCTGACACTTTTATATATATCTTAAATTGAAGCTAATGTAATATACTTTATTATGGTAAAAAAAAATTTCGGACTTTATTTTATCTTCATGGTGAAAATGGCTACCGAATGCTATTTTTGTGTGAAAATTTTCGATTTTGTATTTTACATTTTTAACTTTATTATGCTATAACTTTTTGAAAAATGTATGAATCATTACAATTTTTTTATGAGAAGTAGTATTTATATAGATCTTTCATTCGACATACTGTTTTTTTAAATCGGACCATTTCCCTAAATACAGGGGGGATTCAAAACATAAAAATGCATATAGAAAGTAGAACTTTTTCAACGTAACTTTTGAAAGTGTTCCGGAAGGTCTGACACTTTTATATATATCTTAAATTAAAGCTAATGTAATATACTTTATAATGGTAAAAAAAAATTTCGGACTTTATTTTATCTTCATGGTGAAAACAGACATTAAACTTAATAAAAAAAATACGATTTTTGTAAAAAAATTCTTTTTTATATTTTTAACTTTATAATGCTATAACTTCTCGAAAGATGTATGGATCAATATAATTCTTTTTTTTGTAGATGCATGATGTCTTTACCTATCATTTGGTATATTTTTTTTATAAATCTGACTTTTTACCTGCCTACAGGGGGGGATTCAAAATGACAACTTTTTCACAAAAAATTTACTTTTTCAACTAAAATTTTGAAAGTCTGACACTTTTATTTATATCTTAAATTAAAATTAATGTAATCTACTTTATTATCCGAAAAAAAAATTTCGGACTTTATTTTATCTTCACGGTGAAAATGGCTACCAAATGCTATTATTATGTGAAAATTCTCGATTTTATTTTTTACATTTTTAACATTATAATGCTATAACTTATTGAAAAGTGTATTGATCAATATAATTTTTTTANTAATGCTATGACATATTTAAAAGTGTATGGATCAACATTATTTTTTTATGAGAAATAATATTTTTTAATAATCCCTTTTTCATTCGACATACTTTATCTTGATTAGGATATTAATAATGAACTAGCAGATCATGTAGCTTTTGGAATAATCCACCAATTTTTTAAAATTAAACACTATCTAAAGATTTGCATCGAAGCGTTTTTTTTTGATAGTGATTTTAATCACTGTCAGATATCATTATACTTGATCCATCTATGCCACGTCACCACTGTGCCGCGACCCCCCTGTGCTGGGTTTTTTTATAATTAAATTAGTAACATATTAAGTTGTAGCATTTTAAATGTTATAAAAAATATATATTTTTTAGTAAAATGTTTATACATTTATGTAGGTATCAGACCGAAATAGCAATTATCGCCATTATGGTGAGAATTTTTTTGACACTGAAGAACAACTTCTTGTAATTGAGAACACGACGAAGGTTCGTTATTGTAAGTGAGACATTGAAAATACTTTTTCATTATATTAGTACAACTTTGTTCTGTATCATTTTTTATTTCATAACGATCAATGCTTTTACGATACTCTTTTTCTTGTGTCATTTCATCAATATGTGTTTCCACTATGCTACCAAGTACTCGACCCATTGCACTACCAATTGTGGTAGCAAAGCTTGTTGCTGCCATTTGACTAAAAAGTCCGGGTTGAGTTACTTCTTTTTGATCTTTAGATTCTTTTTGAGTAGGACGATTCTCTGTTGTGTTCCCAAAAACTTGAGTTGATCTACGTGTCACTCTTCTTGGACTAAAGTCTGTTCTTCTTTTTGTCCTTCTACTCATCGTAAATATTTGATTTAATCGTATATATTTGATTTAATCGTAAATATTTGATTTAATCATTGGCGTTATTTTAATACTACAAATATTATTACAATTTATAATATAATTTATTTGATTAGTAACAGTGTTTAATTTGAATGCTGTTATTTATTGTAAAATCTTGAAAATATTATTATTTATGAGCTCCAATGTTGTGTTACTATACTTATCAATAATATTATTAAACATTTTATGACTGTATATATATATAAATTTATTATATTGCTAAAATATATTTAAAATAATGTTAAGTAAATTAATGAAACTATACTTAAAAAAACTTTTGTTAACAGTTACAATTATCGTTCATTTTTAACTGTGTTATGTAATGTTTTACAAAATGTTGCTTTAGTCATTATTCAGTGCAATTTACAACACATGAAATTTACTATGATGGGTTTTGGTAAAAATTATACTCCACGCTTATGCCCTAGTAGCACTGGGGTCCTTATGGACAATCATTTACTGTCCTGTTCAGGACTACTAAATAGGCATTGAATCAGCGTGCCCTATTTATGCCCATCAGGTCACCAATAAGATACTATAAGGCGTCTCCTAGGTTTTCTACGCCTCCTTTCTTGAATTACACACCATTTATAACCTGAAACCTATAGAATTTTACAAAGCGTTCTGTATATAGCCTATATATGCATATGCATATGTAGACTATTTATGCATTCATTTTTGAAGTTCCTCCTTGTAAAAAATATATTTTAAAAATTAATAAACTTTCATTATTTTATTATTATATTTCCATAATATATTTTTTACAATAAAAACAGTTTTAAAAAAAGTTTTATTAGACTATTTACCAATAATAACATCAAATAAATGTTAAGTTATCAATGCTATTTATAAATTATCCTAATTTGTGGTATAAAATTACTGTAAAAATCTTTTTCGGGAAAATTATTGGAAATATTCTCTAAAGACAAAAAATATTTTAAACTTGTTTTTACTACATTTTAAATTATTTTAAATCACTTTTTCAAATTCTGATAAATCACTGAAATGAAACTTTGAATTATTATTGACACTCGCCTAATGAAAATGGCGATTTCTAATATTGTTTAAAAGATCAAAGGCGTATTTAGTATTCCTTCTAGACCATAAAACAGTGAATCTATAGTCACTTGCTTTAACTATTTTAGCAGCAAAATAAACAAAACTTCAAAGAAGAATTGACAAACAACTTTTAAAAAAATACAACACAATTAGATGATCAGAAAGTGTTACGAAACTGGTTATAGTCAAAAAATAACAATAGGTCCTTTTTTAACTTTCGAAAATTATTCCTAAAATCTTTATTTAATGAAAAAATATTTCTTACAATAAAATTGATATTTACAATGATTTATAAAAATAAATTTAATAT